ATATATATATATATATATATATGAAACCATCCATTACCACAATATCCACTAATATATATATATATATGAAACGTACCCCGTGGGCACGTTCTTCTTGGTCGGGTCTGTGCTAAAGCTGAGATGGGTTTTGGCCATACAAATGGGAAGCAAATCGTAGCCACAGGCCGTAAACAACTGGATTTTTTCCAGCGCAAGCGGGGAATACGCGACGGCGTCGGCGCCATAGATCTGTTTGCATACACTTTCCACCTTTTGCTCGATGGAGCACTCGACCGGATACAAAAATCGAAATGCGTTCGACGGTGCCGCGCACGCCGCCGCCACCGCCTCTCCCAACGCCACTGCCCCCGCGCCTCCCTTGGCCCTATATATCAAGCAATTTTTGGCTATTTTTTTGTATTTTTTTGTATGTTTGGCTATTTTGGCTATTTTTGGCTACTTTGGCTATTTTTTGGCTATATTTTGGATAAATTTGGACATACCAGTGGTTGCACTCGATGGCTGCCGACGCCCCAGCTTCCAATGCTTTGGCTTGGACGATTTCAATCTCACGGTCACTGTCACTTGCAAACCGGTTCACAGACACCACCACCGACACGCCAAACTTGAGCTACAAAGACCAACACTCTGTCTCGATCCGGGTCTAGTATTACTAGTAGTAGTAGTCGTAGTACTCGTCATACTTTCAAGAATAGAGTGCCTCGCAACACACATTGGAAATATATATGATTTTGACAGGTGAACAATGTCGAGTGAACTTCATTTGTTTCTAATTGTTTTGTGAAACGAATAATCCACAAATAAAATCAGTCAATAAGAACACTAAATTAAGGCGAAACTCGATGGTTTGGGTACAACCAAAGGCCATGATAATATATATATATGAATACCACCACCACCAATATAACAATAATCCGAATGCTTCAATATGTTGGGACAAACGATATCGTGGTTGGTCTATTGTCACGAATCAAAAGAAGTTTATAAATACTTCAAATATATACAATAATACTATATATTATTACTAAGTGACAATGCACTCAAATATAGGCCATGTTGTAGAAACGGTATTCCTCAACACATATATTCATATTCAACAACCCTGCACCATATTTTAATAAATATACACCAACGTGTGAGCTTATTATGTAAATAGCACTTGATATTATTTTTTGAAGAAAAAATATTAATAAATCGATTTAACCGCTACAGGTATACTAATAATAAACGTACCGCGTTTCGAATGTGCTGCATCATGTTGGCACATCCTGTCGTGACCAACTCGACGTTTTCGTCCACGTACACTGCGTCCAACTAGAATATATATATATATATGTAGTGAAGCGTTGAATACGATCTATGGCTTGGATACAAATATATGATTTATATATTTAATCTACAGAGTTTATATATATATATATATATAAAACTCTGTAGTTCAGATGTATGGCTTGGATAGAAATATATGATTTATATATTTGAGTCATTACCGGTTTGCCAGCAGTCACAGTCGGGCCACCTCCGTGCATCTTTAGCGCACGCACGGTTGCCACGAGCACCACACATTGAGGAATCAATCCTAATCATCACAACCAACAAATAGTCATAGTTTGACAAATATATATATATATTCAGTCTTTAGGTAGTAATTATATATATATATATATGTATACCACCCATCCATCCACCACTCTCGAAATATAGTTTGAACCAGTCCATACAAACACCAAGTCAACATCACCATTTGAACCTCCAACGTCCGGCAAGGTGCTCCACCGAATTATAGTAGATCATACATATATATATCCAAAAATACCTCTCATCCAAGTCGATAATATATATATATATAAATACCACTGGCGCGACATTTGATGTCAAAGAACTTTTCCATGCCAATATCTGCACCAAAGCCAGCCTCCGTGACCACAATTCCTTCCGGACCGACTAATTTAAGTGCGATTTGGTCGGCGATAATGGATGAGTTGCCGTGCGCAATGTTGGCAAATGGCCCCGCGTGTACCAATACTACACAATAATACATATAAATATATATTTATTTATTTCATGGTGGTACTACCTGGGGTTTGCTCCACGGTTTGCATCAACGTGCTGTAAATATGTTAAAATATATTATTATTTCCCGTAGAAATATTATACGTACGGCATGATAGCATCCTTCATCAAGGCAGTCAAAGCGCCGCCGACTCCCAAATCGTCGGCTGTCACTGGGACTCCAGCCCTGCTCATGCCAATGACCTGATTCCCACATGATAAATATATATATTGAAACGAATGAAAATAAAATGAATATATATATATATATATATTATTCTTGCAAGACGCGATCGTACCATCCGACCCAACCGCTCGCGCATGTCCGTCAAGCTTGTCGCTAACGCCAACACGGCCATGATTTCACTGGCCACCTAAAACGTACACCAGTTCGTTTCAAATATTTAATATATTATATACATATGATTAAACCAGTTTGTTTTAAATATTTATATATATATGAAGTATACCAGTTATTCATGTACAAATATAAATGTATTATACCAGTATATTCAAGTATATATATATATGAGCCATACCAGTTATTCAAGGACAAACCACGTATACACTATAGAATTCCATAGAAACGTATCTAATAGCACAGAAGTAAACTTTGGTACAATGGAAAAGACTTTTATATGACCAAATAGGCTCGGTTCATACATATATAAATATATGGAAACATATAAATATATATATACTAAAAGTTACCGTGATGTCAAAACCAGTGTTGCGGCCGTGTCCTTGTTCCGTGGGAGCTTGGCCAATTGTGATCCCGCGCAGAAACCGGTCGCACGTGTCCAGAACACGGTTCCTAATATTCATAATATTATTACTATTCGTCATTTTAAATATATATATCTATATAATCTCATCATCTTCCACACAAGCATATATCGGTGAAAAAAACAAATCATCCACGAGTCGCCTTGACCACAAATCTACAATCTATTGAACTAGACTGTATCGAAAAAACTATACCATAGATCAACCTCAAAGTATCAATACCATATCTGTCAATATATATATAGATAGATAGATCAAATGAAAAAAAAAATATATATAGATATATAGATAGATAAAATGATATA